TGTATACTATATGGTAATTCTCCGTTATTATAATACTCCCTTATTGATGCAATTCACTTGCTTTACAGAGGCTTCCGGTCCAGGTGCTTTGAAAAAGTCAGGCACATAGACTTATTTGGGGAGATTTACTAAAATTGGTGCACTCAGAATCTGGTGCAGCGGTGCAATGGAACCAGTTTTTAACATCAGCTTGTTCAATAAAGCTTTGACAATAAAACCTGTAAGCTGATTGGTTTCTCTGCAGAGCTGCACCAGATTGTGAACTCTCCGGTTTCAGTAAATCTTTCCCATTGGTGGGAAGAACTACTTCATCATTAGTACTGGAAGTCTGCAGGTAGTGCTTGAACTGCACGAAGATCTAATAGCAGCATTACCAGCAAAGGACAGCACAGAAGTAAGCTGCTGCTCCTAAAAGAGTAACTCCACTTTTGTTGATAAGAAAAAACAATCTCCACTGGGTGATACATTGCAAGGATTTTAACAAACTTTGTTGCAGATTCCTATCCGTTTCAGCTCTCAAGCAATAGTTCTTTGCTGGACAGAGTGTCCTGTGCAAAGTGCTTCTGAATAAGAGTGACTAATCCATTTTATTCAGCTGATGTACTTTCTGAGTTCTGATAGAAAAAGTTGCAGTGTCTGCAATCTTTTAGAAGTGATTAACCCTTAGGGAGTATCTCACTAAAATTGACATTTATTTTGCAGAAGATGTCTAAAACGTGGGAGTAGCTCACCGAAAATTGACATTTATGTTGCAGAAGATGTCTAAATTGTGACCTGTATCTAAGTGCAGAGTTCTCCAACTAAGCAAGAAATGACATCTCTGGAGGCGTTCTGTATACCAGCTGTGTACAGAACGTCTCCAAGAGCCATAATACATTGACTTTACAGAAAATTACAGCAATGCAGTTTGATAAGTTAGGGTAATTTTTAATAACATTAGATTACAATACGGTTTGTGTAGTAATTGTATATTATTTATTTATTTATTTCGCTGTTTTTTTGCTTTGTTTTGTTTTTATTCACGAAAGTGGAGTTGCCTTTTAAGTCTTTGAAGACCTCACCTTTAATCAATTCAATCATGTATTATTAGTTCTCTCTCTCTCTCTCTATATATATATATATACTGTATATGCATATACTTTTTTTATACATATATACCATTTGACTAAAGGGTCAATATTATTTTATATACACGTGCAAAAATAACACTTTTAAAAGAGCAAATAGGCATATAAGCAAAGAGCACGGTGCTTATAATATAAAATATATTTTCCATACCTGAATATGATGGCTAGTTTAAGCTATAGTGTAACAGTGTTAGACTATGTATTAGTATACAAATCGCTGGTTAGTTTTTTCTAAGATTCCCAACCCCGAAGAATAGCATTAGCCAATTTGTTTTCTGGTGGTGTGGATGATGTAGTGTCAATCATTTTTACTATGCAAAGTCACAATAATATTACTATATTACCAAAACTGAATAAAACTAAAATAAATCAAAATATACTGTACTATGTTAAAGTTAAGTGAGACATTATAAGTTTCTTAAGGGTTTTAGGTATTTTTATAGACTTATTTAAGAAAACAAAACTAACCCATAGTAGCCAATCATTTGACTTCCAGACGTCTAACTTCGGTATGCTGAATTGTGATTATCTACAGGTCATTCCACTGTGTACTTCAGCTTTAATAAATAAACCCATGTGGAGAATAAAAAAAGGGGCTGTATCTGCAACTGTAATTCCTGTGGTTCGGATTATGTCCACTTTGCCCTAGCCTGTCCTGAAAATGTTAATTGACTTGCTGACCATCTTTTTAATACTTTGACATGGAAAGCACCATGAAATGGACTTCTAACCTCTCATTGGCCTGCCTAATTTGCATAATTCTTCCAAGTTACTTATTAATAGGTCAACATAACTGCCAGTTAACACAAATGTATAGGCTTCTTAAAAAATGACTTAAAAAACAACACATAGAAAAAAAAAACGCATGCATGTATTTTCCAATGCATCTTGTACAAACATGTTCCAAGAATAAAATAAAAATATATTGAGTGTTGCGCTCTCAAACCTTCAATCAATACATGATTATTTAAATCATTTAATTATAAAAATTACAATAATTAAGAATGATGTGTATGAATAAACATAAATTGTAATAATCTTATACTCTGAATCTTCTGAATCAACTCAGATAAACCATGTGCATGGAACAGTGATGAACAAACAAATATAAAATAAAATAAAAATAATAAAAAATGTCCCAAAAAGTGACTTTGTGCTGAAAAATCTTCAATAATTATAAATCGGTGACTGCTTGTGAATCCTCCCTCAAGTGAAGATATGCGCTCACCTCATAGGAAGCCTGCAATTAGGCTATATAAGCTTGCGGTTCACCTCCTTTGGAACCTGCTTGTTTGGAACTCCTGTTATAAGATATCCATGGTATACGGCATATGCTATGGAATGAATCTCCTCTCCAGAGGGTGCTATTCCTCTATGTTTTCATCTCCATGCGGTTCGTCCTCTCTTCAGCTGCGGCAACTACAAGTAGCTGTCCATAAGATAGCGATCTTATGGACAGCTACTTGTAGTTGCCGCAGCTGAAGAGAGGACGAACCGCATGGAGATGAAAACATAGAGGAATAGCACCCTCTGGAGAGGAGATTCATTCCATAGCATATGCCGTATACCATGGATATCTTATAACAGGAGTTCCAAACAAGCAGGTTCCAAAGGAGGTGAACCGCAAGCTTATATAGCCTAATTGCAGGCTTCCTATGAGGTGAGCGCATATCTTCACTTGAGGGAGGATTCACAAGCAGTCACCGATTTATAATTATTGAAGATTTTTCAGCACAAAGTCACTTTTTGGGACATTTTTTATTATTTTTATTTTATTTTATATTTGTTTGTTCATCACTGTTCCATGCACATGGTTTATCTGAGTTGATTCAGAAGATTCAGAGTATAAGATTATTACAATTTATGTTTATTCATACACATCATTCTTAATTATTGTAATTTTTATAATTAAATGATTTAAATAATCATGTATTGATTGAAGGTTTGAGAGCGCAACACTCAATATATTTTTTATTTTGCATTTTATCACATTGGTAGTTATGTGCTAGAGGTTTGCGATCCAACATTAGAGAGTATAAAATAAGGAATTTTTGTCTGCCTTCTGGCTCGCAAGACTTTTCAAATGTTCCAAGAATACCTGGTAGAAAATACCATCAGTTGAGCACAAAATTGGGCTCAAGGATAATAATTATTTTCAGTTCAACCAAGCTGATGCTGCTTATTACAGCAGAGACTAACCCAGTGCTAAAATATCCACCCTTGGTTTGGAAAAAAGTGTTTCATTCTATAGCAATTAGTTTCCAAGGTTCTTATTTAAAATATTCAGGAGAGTCTGTATTGTATTGTAGTGGCCCTGGCTAGGTAGTTCCTACATACAAAGTGGCCTCGGAAAAGACACCTTGAGGAAGGTCCAGGGGGTTAGGATGAAACAAGAGCACAATACATGATTTCAGAGACCAAAATTGTTTTTCACCATGGTAAATCCAGGGTACAAAGCCAATGCATTTTGGGAGTTTGTACTTTACCCCTTCATCAGGGATTTAAATACTAATTGGAATGAAAATTGGTGGACGTGGAGAAAAAATGCAGAAGTTAAATGCTCCTTTTACTGAAACAGGCTTCAGAAGTTCTCACAACCAGCTGCTGAAGCTTATTTCAATAGAAAGATCAATTCAATGACCATATATTTACTCCATGTCCACCATTTTTCCAAGGCCTGATAAAACTTTTTTCTTGATTTATCAGAATTAAATAAATAATTCTGTGTGTGGCGCTATTGTTTCATCTTAAACCCCTAATATAAAATAAATTTCATAGGTTAAACAGCAAATTTGAAAAATAAACTGACCTATGTGTTTATTATGTGAACTTAAGATACTTTTCTATGACTTGCTCATGCTGAATATCAACAAAATTAAACTGCTGAATTGTTCAGAAAATTTAAATTATGGCCATCAGTCAGATCTGACCTGGCTTCCTGGCAAGTATGGAAATGGACATATAAGTTAATAAACTTTATTTAACTATAAAAACATTGTGCAGTCCTGACTTCTCATAAGGCAGTGGTGATAATGCATAAAAAAGATTGGAACCCATCTATAGATTGATGTTGTCTTGGCATATATTCCGTATTGCGTGAGAAAAGGTTAGAGTTATGGCTTGATGTTATATATAATACTGGGTGATGCTATAATCAGTCCAGCCCCTGTATATATATATATATATATATATATATATATATATATATGCAGATGGAAATACTTGCTAGCTCGATCGATACATTTTCCTTAACGCTGCAAGCAAGTTTCCCAATGCACAATTAAGACTCATTTAAAAAAGGTAAGAATCATTCCTGAGAAACATCTGTTGTGTAGATCTGAAGGTGATTATCCCAATAACAATAATAAACTAGTGCTAATAAAAAAAACTAAGCTATGGTTGTACATTTGATTAAAATAAAAAAAGACCTTCGGGAATGTGGCATGCTGCCTAGTTAAAAAAAAAAGTAACAAAAATCATTTTTCTATTCGAGTTTCTCACATTTTAACTTTGATTCATTTGCTGAGAAGCTCTAGCACAGTATGATATGTACACTTAAAATAAAGCAATTTAGCAGCAAGACCTCAAAACACCTCTCATATTTCTATGGAGACATGGAAAACAGAGTTACAAGTATGTTGTTTTTGGTAGAACACATAGATCCACAGAAAAGAGCTCTATCTTACTGGGATCTGTCATCGTTCCAGCATTTTGCACACAGTCCTTTAATATCAAACACTGGATAACTTAACCTAATGCAGGTGCAGTGTGCGGCATAAAAGAGACATCTTACTTCTATTCTTTCAGACTTGCTTATCACTAGCATTCACTTGTCCTTTCACGTAAAATGAAATGATCACTTTCTTTGGCATTTTCCTCTTCATTTTCCTTTTCTGGACTTTTCTCTTCCATACCACTGTTTTCTGAATCACCATCATCATCATCATCTTCATCATGTTTTTTGGGTTTCCCTTCAAGACTATTTCTAATGCCGTATGCAAAGTAAATCAGAAAACCTAAAAAAAAAATGTTTAATAATAACAATTTTTTGGTATATATTGGACTGTATTAAACAGTAAAAAATTAAGATTATTTAAGTATATGCATGACAAAAATGTTTTTGTTTTTTTTATTACTGAAAGATAAAAGCCAGCATGCCAGGTTTGAGTTAACTGCTTCCCTTCCAGCAACATACCGGTATGACACTGGATTGGAAGAGTGATATCTTGGTCCAAGATATCATTTTTTAGAGCCGGGAATTCCCTTCAGTTTAAACATAATCCTAGTGGCTAAGAAGCTGCTGGATTACTTTTACAGGTGGTGGAAGGGGGAGAGATTTTCTTTCACTTCTATTTATGTCTCTGGGAAGTGATGTGCTCAACGGGACACAGACAGCAAAACTTTAATTGGCATGGGTGTTACAATGCATGTATAGCTTTGTTTTTTTATCTAATTTTGGGTAGGGCAGGTCATCTTTTTTGTAATTGTCTTAATCCCACAACATATCCACCTATTTGTACTGAAGAGCACTGTCATCAAAATAGAAAGTGAAGGTAATCAAAAATGTTAGAACTGCCCCTAGAACAAGAGGTTAGAGGTACAACTTGAAATGGGGAAATTTGTTTTGTGACAACTGCCTAAGAGGGGATTTCCTCTCACCTCCTCTTGTGTCTCTGGGACAGGAAGTGAATGGAAAACCTCCCCAACTGGACACGGGGACATGGCCAGCAAAGATAAACTAGTATTAACATCTTCCTACTCTATCCCAAACTAGAAACACATTAAACATGTTTATTACTGTGTACAATGCAGTCTAGTAATAATGCTACAAAGGGCCATCTTTAATATTGATTGAACCCTTGGCAAACATTTTCTTGCCCCCCCTCCCCCATACATATCCACCTTTCTACCCCAAGCACACCTCTGTACCTCCAGCACACCTCTGTATCCCCAGCACATCTCTGTACCCCCAGCACATAAATATACCCCAGCACACCTCAGTACCCCCCCCCCCCCCCCCGCAACACATCTCTGTACAACCAGCACAACTCTGTACCCCCATCACATCTTTGTACCTTTAGAAGACTTTCACACCCCCTAGCACACCTCTGCACCCCAATACTCTTTCATATCCACCAGCACATCTTTATATACTCTTAAACACCTCTGCAGCCCAGCCCCCCCCTCCCCACACACACACACACACACACACACACACAAATCTGCACCTCTCAGAATCCTCTGCATGGCCCAGCACAGATTTATACTCCCAACACACCTCCTTACCCCCAGCAAGTCTCTGCACACCACATCTATATACTCCCCTGAACATCTCTGCAACCCCCCATACTCCCCCATACCCTCTGCACATCTCTGTATCTCCAGAACCCCAGCACCCCCAACACACCTCCGAGCGCATTTCTGTTCCCTCCAACTTTGTACCTTCCAGTATCTTATTTAACCCCCAACCCACATCTCTGCAACCTGTTTAATACCCTATGACTACATACCGTTCCATTCCATTTCTCAGGCTACTGTGGCTTCTCTGGTGGCAGCGGGAGTGCACAGGGGGCAGAGCCCACACAGAAACTCATGCAGCTGCATTAGGGTCACTAGTGTTGATGATATTGATGGGCAGCTGTACTTCATTGTATAGCGTAAGCTGCCGGAGGTGAGGAGAGAGGTTCAAGGCAGCATAGCTGCCCATCAATATCATTAACACTAGTGACTCTATTGCAGATTGTATTCCCGCCACCACCAGAGAAGCCACAGAACTGCTGGCCAAATGTGCAGAGAGAGGGTCCGGGAGCCACAGCTGCCCATCAGATCAACATGTGCAGCTACACTAGTGAAGCCAATGCTGCCATCCCAGGACAAAGCCATCAGGGGACAATGAAAGTGAAAACGACCATATATGCTATTTGTGGGGAGCGTAGGCTCAAGGGACAGCTGCTTTGGGCCCCACAACAATGACTGAGCATAGGGCAGCTGCCCCTTTTGCCCCACATTAAATACAGCCCTATTGCTACACAAGAATACAAGCTGTTTTTATTGATTATAGCAGGCCTCAAAACTTCCACTCGCCCGCTCGCATTTGACGAGTGGAAATAATAGGGGGGCGAGTCACTGGCAGAGCCGACGCCACCATAAGGCAGTTGGGTAGACAGACCCTGGCGCTCCATGTCCCAGACCTGTGCATCCATCACCCTCTCCATTCCCCCCATTTCTCTCTCCGCTCACTCGCAGTGTTTTGCTCTCCTCCCTCAGCCTCGGTTTCCATTGTCCGGGTCTCTCACTAGGGGGAATGTGTGGGCCAGCACTGTGTGCAGGGTGCCGCCGTAGCAACCTCCACTCCCTAACATACTGGTATTCATCTCCGTTCCTCTCCTTTTCTTCCCACCATTCTGGTCTAGCCACACCTGTTCTCTGCTTTCCTCCTCTCGTTCCCCACCATGCACAGTTCCAACCCCGCTGGAGGGCTCTTTTTGTAAGTGGGGACACTGATGTTACAGGGGGGCTCTGATGGTACAGGGGAGCTTTGATGGTACGGGGGGCTCTGATGGTACAGGGGGGCTCTGATGGTACAGGGGGGCCTCTGATGGTACAGGGGGACTTTGATGCTACAGAGGAGCTCTAAGAGTATGAGGGAGGGGCTCTGATGGTACAGGGAGACTCTGATGATAAAGGGGGGCCTCTGAAGGTAAAAGGGGGACTCTGATGGTACAGGGGGGACTCTGATGGTAAAAGGGGGACTCTGGTGGTAAAAGAGAAGCTCTGATGGTACAGGGGGACTCTGATGGTAAAAGGGGGGCTCTGATGGTACAGGGGGACATTGATGGTACAGAGGGACTCTGATGGTAAATGGGAACTCTGATGGTATAGGGAGGCTGTGATGGTAAGGGGGACTGGTAGAGGAGGACATGGGATGGGGGAGATGGGACTGAAGAAGGAAGAAGACATGGGATGGAGGAGGTGTTTACATTGCTTTATGTTAATATTGTTAAATTTGTTGTTGTTAATATTTATTCTGCATAAGACATTTAACTGACATTTCATGAGATAATTTACGAGGGCGTGTTTAGGAGCGGAGCAGGGTAGGGGTTGGGTGGGACAACTGGTGGCGAGCAAGTCTTAATGCCTGGCTAGTAGCTCAGGACTTGAAATGTTGAGCCCTGGATTATAGGTCTATTCTAATTACGTATAATAGTAAATTACACTGACAAGCATGTCTCTGCTTCCTTAATAACCTGCAGTGCTTTTTGAAAACGGAGCTTGCAAAACCAATGAATATATCATAGTATTAACTTCTTGGAAGGAGGATAAATACCTCTTAGAAAACATTTACAGTCAGCATTCTACTTTTAGTTGCTAGTTCAGCTCCAGAGGAAATGTCACAAATAAGTGTTCCATCCTTGCACAGAAAGAACATTCATTTTGACTAAGACATAACTTTGAACAGTAATCCTACTCACCAAGAGCCATCCAGATGCTAAATCTTATCCAGGTGTCACCACTTAACTGTACCATTAAGTAAACGTTTACCAGTACGCTAAAAACTGGCAGAAAAGGTAGGAGTGGGACCTATAGAAGACATGAACACATGTAGCTTATACAATACAACTTTGCAAAAGAATACATTTTAAACACATCTTGTATAAGTACCTATTCACTATATAATATTATATATATATATATATATATATATATATATATATATATATATATATACACACACACAGTGGGAAAATAATTATTTGATCCCCTGCGGATTTTGTAAGTTTACCCACTTACAAAGAATTGACGGGTCTATAATTTTTCTCATAGGTATATGTTAAATAATAGAGACAGAATATCAAACAAAAAATCCAGAAAAAAACACGATACAAATGTTACAAATTGAGTTGCAGTTCAGTGAGTAAAATAAGTATTTGATCCCCAAGCAAAACATGACTTAGTACTTGGTGGAGAAACCCTTGTTGGCAAGCACAGAGGCAAGATGTTTCTTGTAGTTGGTTACCAGCTTTGCTCACATCTTAGGAGGGATTTTAGTCCACTCTTCTTTACAGATCTTCTCTAAATCCTTAAGGTTTCTTGGCTTATGCTTGGCAACTCAATGTTTCAGCTCCATCCAAAAATTTTCTTTAGGATAAAGATCTGGAGACTGGTTAGGCCACTCCATGACCTTAATGTGCTTCTTCTTGAGCCACTCCTTTGTTGTCTTGGTGGTAATGTTTTGGGTCATTGTCATGCTGGAAGACCCATCCAAGACCCACCTTCAGTGTTCTGGCTGAAGGAAGAAGGTTCACATCCAAGTTTTTACAATACATGGCCCCGTCCATTGGCCCCTCAATGCAACAAAATTGACACCTTTAGCAGAGAAACAGCCCCAAAGCATAATGTTTCCATCTCCATGCTTGACTGTAGGGATGGTGTTCTTAGGGTCATAGTCAGCATATTTCTTCCTCCAATCACGGTGAGTCGAGTTAATGCCAAAGAGCTCAATTTTGGTCTTATTTGACCACAGCACTTTCTTACAATCCTTTGCTGAATCATTTAGATGTTTATTGGCAAACTTCAGATGGGCCTGTACATGTGCCTTTATGAGGAAGGGGACCTTGCGGGCACTGCAGGATTTCAATTCATGGCTTCATATTCTGTTACAAATGATTTGTTTGGTGACTGTGGTCCCAACTGTCATGAGATCATTCACAAGCTCCTCCCATGTAGTTCTGGGCTGATCCCTCACTTTTCTCATGATCATCCTTATCCCATGAGGTGAAATCGTGCATGGAGCTCCAGACCAAGGGCGATTGATGGTTATTTTGTAATTCTTCCATTTGCGAATAATTGCTCCAACAATTGTCTCTTTCTCACCAAGCTTCTTGCTGATGGCCTTGTAGACCATTCTGTGCACTATTCTGTGTGTAGAGATTCTGTGCACAGGTGTCTTTTATACACATAATGAGTTGTTGTTAGGAGCACCTTCTTAAATTGGCAGGACTAGTCTGTGTTCCACATGAGTGGAACACAGACTGTGACTGTGCAGGACAGGGACTGTGTTCCAGTCTGTAGGAGCCATAATTATTGTTGGTTGGTAGGGAATCACATACCTATATTACTCACTGAACTGCAACTCAATTTATATCATTTGTATCATATTTTTTCTGGATTTTTTGGTTGATATTCTGTCTCTATTATTTAAAATACACATATGATAAAAAAAAATATTGACCCTTCATTTCTTTGTAAGTGGGCAAACTTACAAAATCTGCAGGGGAACAAATAATTATTTTCGCCACTGTATATATACTATATATATATATATATATATATATATATATATATATACACATATACACATATATATATATATATATATATATATATATATATATAAAATTGCTGCAAACATTACTGCTTCCAGACATACTCTTCCAAGATTGATCATATTTTCTGTCCTGTGTGAATTTTAGGCGCCTTAAAGTAGATACAACCCCAATTACCAAAATCTTAAATACATTTTAATATGTTGATGTAATTCCAAAAGTTGTTTGCAATCTTTTTAATATACAACTTTCATTAGAAGTGTGCCTGGGTATCTTGCCATGAAGGTCTTTATTCAGGAACGTCCTGATCTGGGGTGACAACTATCTGCCAATTGTGCACTTGTGCTGTTACCCTGCCATATGTGCCCCGGGTTTAGACTGCAAGGAGCCATGCAAACACACAGGCGCATTCAGCAGTGCACAATAGGGTCACTGAGAAATGCAATTAGCTCAGGTTGCCTACAAAGGGGAGGGATTAAAGCCCGCTGAAACTAATTGGCAGGGTTGCTATGGGAATTATGTTAATTGGGTAACTTGGAAGTGAGGGGAACAGGTATGTCCTACAACAGACTGCAATGCATTACAACTGCGATCAGTGCACCATAAGTGCAATGCACAGGCTAATTCAAACCATTCCCCCGGTCCCAAGTGCTTAACAAGGTGCAGACCTTCAGTTATGGGGCTGGTGGAAGTAATCAATAGACTACAACAGAGGGACTGAATTCAAATGAAAATCTGGAACTACCAAGAAGAAGCACTCTGCAATTCAGTTAGGTGTGTATGGGGTTGGGGTAATGGTCTGCGGTGGAGAAGTGCTGAATGTAACCATGTTTAATGCTACACTGTATTTGGGTGTAACATGGAACCTGGACACAAAGTCGCTCTATTTTTTTTAAGAGGGATGGAAAATGAGCACAATCGGTAGTGCTACAGTACCAGGAGCAGGCTATTAGAAAGGAAAGAGCAGAGTGGTAGAGAGCTGAGCTCATCAGTCTGCTACTTCTCTTTTCACTGTCCAGTCACAGGGTATAGGTGGTGAAAAGACTTGTAAATGTTACTGAATTGTAGAAAGATCAGTTCCCCTGCCGCTCAGGGCTGTGCTGCGTGGCAGAACCGTGTATAACTCAGTACTTAATGAATAGAAATACAAATGTTTGGCAGTTAAACCAGCTACCATATACATATTTCATCTAGCAGTTTGTCTGGAGTTTAACATTAATGGGAAATAACACTGTTTAGTATAAGAGAGATTTACCATGAAAGCAACTTTATGTTGGTTCTGTGGTTGTCTCCAGATTATTAACACAATAGAGCAGATGAGTATAATGAATATTGAAAGAAGAGCGATGCTCCATCCCTCCTCCATATTATATATCGCTGTCACTGCATACGTCGTCAAGACACTTAATGCACAAATAATAATTGCTGTAGAAAGAAGCATACAAGTACTTTTATCCATTTGCTGGTTTTAGAATCCCATGAATAAATTAATTCAATATACCAAGGACCAAAATTACTGTTCATGCACCAAAAGCAGTACTTGTTACTTTAATAATGCATGTCTTCTTAATTCTGTACCTGTGAAGCCCTGACAAGCCACCTGCAATCCATCTTTACACAATAATAAATAGGGTTTTTTTGCATTAAAAAAAAATGGATGTTAACGGATGCGGACATTAACGGATGCAGAAAAGATGTTCATCTGTTTACATCCGCAAGTCCGTAAACGGACAGATGAAAATGGACATACAGAACGCCAGTTTGAAAGGGGCCTAAAGGGGTGTATTTCTTTCCGCTTTCTTTTCGCTTTTTTAAACTGCACAAAAACTGATCAGTGTGAAAGCAGTCTTACAGATGAACTAATTGCACACACAAGCTGGAATTTCCAATTTTCGGATGCACATGGTGCTGAAGAAGAGTGCACATTTGTGCATGCATTGCACATTCAATATACAGTATATACAGCCATAAAATAGGGCAGTACCTTTTGATAATTGCTAATCATTTACCTAATAAATTGGTAAAAAGTATGAAAACTATACAAATAGATTGTCCTTTTCAAACTGTGTGCTTGAATGTCACCCACTGCATTCTTGTGAGTCTTACAGGTAAAAAAAATGCTTTGTGTGAGCCTGGATTCACCTTGCATCAACCACTCTGCTTTTCTCCCCTGCTCTCTCCGAGATGGGGTTACATCTTCATACACTACCCTGTTATAAAAGTATTGTAGAAGCACAATGGTTGGATGAGAACACTGGTGCCAGACATTTCCTTCAGCTGAGAACAGTGACTTCAGCCACAGAAAACTAGGAGCCTCTCTAATGCAGGATGTTGCACTCACAGTGGGGTCAATTCACTAAAGGGGTTACTGCCTGTGGTAAGAAGGTCATATAACCAATTTTTCAGAAGTATCGCATGAAATAATAAAAGTGTCAATTCATCAAAGTAAAATATTAAATGTGAGGCAAATACAGCACATTTTTAAAAAATGTCAGGTAAATATCACCCTACAAAAGTTAATTCCCTAAGCCTGGGTTCACATACATGCAGTGCAGTATATCGCATGTGATTCGCACAGGAACCGCACTGCATTCCTGTGCAAATCACATGCGATTTGTGTGCAATGAGATTGGAGACATACATTTTCTATGGCTCTATTCGCACCACACCCGCACCAAAAATGTGCAGGACCCTTTTTTTGGTCCACACTAGAATCGGATCGCTTTGGGTATTCACACCTATGTGATCCGATTCTGCACATCGCACTGCGTTTTGCAGACCGTTTTCGGGGTGTTGTTAACATAACATACACACGCGCAGCGGCTCGCATGAATGGGGTGCGATTCTGATGCGGTGCGGAATTAGCACTGAAAACGTTGCAAATTCTGCACCGCATCAGTGTGAACCAGGGCTAAAGAACAGACACATTCGTTATTTATCACCTGTCAGTAAGCGGTCGGTATTTAGAAAAGTACAGCATAAAAGTGAGGTGAACTCTGCAGTGGCCAGTAAATTAAAAGTATACAATGTGTCAGTGTGGAAATGTTCTGTCTTGAGCTCAAGAAAGAGCTCAAGAAAGAAAATAAATTGTAACATTTCACCAGAGGGGGATCTTTCTGTGAGTGAAATCACACCAGAATGTTTTCACAGTTTCATATTTCTGTGTGCATTTATTTCTTACTCTGGCGCAGTGTTATTTTTAATTGATTTACCGGTGCCTATATCAGAATTATATATATATTATTTCACATTTCCGGGTAGGGGGCACGCGCGCACGCACCCTACCTGCGCCATCATTCACAGCCTTGGCTGTCAGTCACCGAGTATGTCAACAAATACAGTTGTCTCCCCTGTCAGCTCCAGCACACTGCTTTGTATGGCTCTGCAAGTAGAGTGTTCTAATTTTTACATTTTCTAGTTTCTCTGGCATAGTTGGCCCTCTAGTGACAACATGTTTTAGTTATCCAATCACACAACAACTTCAACTCTCTGAAAGTGAAATAAAATATATATGTTTAAACTGATGGGTTCTGTAATGTTGTTGGCGAGGAAACACTGAGTATATTATGTGTTATTTGCTGCTTTGTGCTTCTCTAACCACAGCCCAGGCTTTGCTTACAGACTCCCTGTATATAATTTTCTCATGTACCAGACAGCCTTCTCTCCCACGTTCTGCGGTAGGCAATGTTGTTCCAAAGGAGAAAATAAAACTGTATTTTTTTCTACTTTTAGCATTACATGCCCTACGTCCTCACACCAGCGAACAAAGCAAACAAAACTGAAAAAAGTAGAAAAAATAATGTTGTTAAATAAAATATTTTCCTGGTTTTATTTGGGCACATTTGTAGATGTTAGTATATAAAAATAGGAGATATACTCAGAAACTTAACAGGGGGCATTTTTTCCATTTCTATTATGGCCTCCTTTCTCTGCCTTGCAAACGATTTTACCTTTAAGACACCACAATGGAAAAACTGGTAAATCATAGCATAATAGTTTCTTTGATATGGCGGTGGACAGGGGCGGACTGACCATTCGAACATTTGGGCACTGCCCAAGGGCCCGTGGTCAGTAGGGGGCCCCATGAAATGCCCCCGGTACCTTTTTATATAGGCTTTTTTGAGTGTAGGCAAGGACACAGGGGCCCCATGATCCCCTATTGCTTGGGGGCCCCATGAATTGTCAGTCCGCCCCTGGCGGTGGACCATACTTTGGAACTTATTTACTCAACCCTAGTAAGTGGGATAAAAACCTCTGCAAACCTAGTGCAGTTATCTGTATGCATACATCAGAGCAAGCAGCACATTTCTGCTAGGACAGGAAGAAACAAAGACAGATTTCCAGCTTACCCAGCAGCCCCACTACTAAGCTGACCACAGAGGCAGACTGTTCTGTTGGCACACTGGCAGGGTACAGAAGAGAATGAAAACTAAATCCTTGTTCCTGTAGCATCATGATTTGAGACTCGTTCATCATTGATTCCCTTTCTGACACCGATAGCATTTCTTTCTCTGGAGCACCTTTAGGTTTCTCATATCCCAATCCAGGCTGATACCTGTGCAGAGGTGAACACATTATAAGTACACAAATATTAGTGTATGGATTACTAAATATAGCATTACAGTAAGTTTATAGAAAATTCAATATGTCTGAATGGCTTAAAAAATGTAAAGTGTTACTAAACCCACAACAGCAAAATCAGCCTGTATATGCAGTAAAGCATGCTTGCTATACACACTGGGGAACCTAAGGGGTTAATCCTCCGCATTGTGCAAAAAAATCTGTTTGATCCCATCTTCTCTGATCCTCCCCTTCTTTTACTGTCCCCAATCCATCTGCTGATAATACATAGTTCCGGGAGTCAACCCTGCACATGCTCAGTTTAGTATGAATGGCTAGAGAGTTTTTTCCTTTGAGAGAGTGCATGTGATCAGCACAGGGCCAATAAGCACTGTTCAGACAGAGGGTCAGGAGTTATGCAGCCTCATAGGACAGTCAGAAGAGAATGAAAACTCCTCCTACAAGCTTTAACCAGTGCTCAGCTGGAAACCGATAGAAGTCACAAGACTGCTCTAACTGCTGATGAGAAAAGGTATTTAGCAGTTTATATTTACTAAAATTATTGGATTTCCATGTTCTGTGTACTGTGGGAGACCAGATATAGTGAATGCAGGGTCCTGGGTTTAGTAACACTTTAAGTCCACCTCCTTTAGTGTACCTGCTTTTTATTTTATGAGAGCCCTGGACGGGAAGTGGTTAGCTGCTATTATTTTTTTTTTATTTAACAGTAATAGTATTAGGGAAAGGAAGTTCTTTAACCACTTCAAGTCCAGACACATTTACCCCCTTCCTATTCAGGTCAATTTTCACCTTTCAGAGCTATCACACTTTAATGACAATTGCGCGGTCATGCAACACTGTACCCATATGAATTTTTTAGCATTTTTTGAGACAGATAAAACTTTATTTTGGTGGTATTTATTCACCACTGGGATTTTTATTTTTTTTTTGCTATATAAATGAAAAAGTCCAAAAATTTTGAAAAAAAAGTGTTTTTCTTATAAAATTCTTCATAAATCTTGGCCAAAATTTATTTAGTTATCTGTTTAGTAAAAAAGAAAAACCTAAATTTTTTTTACATTTTTATTTTATTTATATAATTTTTTTTTTTATTTTTTTTAACATACTGTCACCCTAGCAGTAAAGTGTCACCATAGTGACAATGTACTGCTTGTCGGAGGTGATGATCATTTTTTTTTTACACTGATTGCTTTTACACCCATAAAGGCTGTAAAAGCAATAATTTCTCCTTCTCTCTGACTGCATTCTTGCAGCCATTGAGAAATACTGTGAGAGCTGTGATTGGTCACAGCTTGTCACATGGTAAAAAGGCTGTTGTGAATAGCTTTGTTCCATGTGACCTCTGTGATCATTCACAGATTTCACACGTCAGGAAGTAACATCTTGTTTACTACTATTCATGTGATCACTGATTGGCCAATCAGTGATCACATGATCAAGACCTCACACAGAGGTCCTGAGGACACAGCAGGCACCAGATTGCGGTGCCGCACGCTCCCAGGAAGAGCACACAGGCTGTAAATGGGGCACCGTTTATGAACGGCAACCCACTCCTGCACTACTCCCGTCCGGCCGTTTATGTACATAGGCTGGATGGGAAGTGGTTAGCTGCTATTATTATTATTTTTTTTTTTTGTTTTTTTAAACATCCATTTTAGCACTTAGGCACTTTCTTCTTACCTATTTAGTGTGTTGAGTTCTAGATGACTGGGAGGTGAAAGGGTAAAGTTAACTTATCTGTAATAGCATACTGCCACCAGGCATGTATGGAGACTGTTATTGGCCATATGCAAGCAGCCTATAGGTACAACCATTAGATATTTAAATTCATGGACACATGTGGATTGATTTACAGTTTAGAGTGCAAACTCTGGTGCAGCTCTGCATAGAAACCAATCAGCTCCCTGGTTTTCATTAAAGCTTAACTGAGCAAGCTGAAGTTATTTATTATTAAATAATTTTAGGTACTTATATAGCGCTGTCAATTTATGCAGCGCTGTACATATACAGTGGGGCAAAAAAGTATTTAGTCAGCCACCAATTGTGCAAGTTCTCCCACTTACAAAGATGAGAGAGGCCTGTAATTGGCATCATAGGTAGACCTCAACTATGAGAGACAAAATGCGAAAAAAAATCCAGACAATCACATTGGCTGATTTGGAAAGAATTTATTTGCAAATTATGGTGGAAAATAAGTATTTGGTCACCTACAAACAAGCATGATTTCTGTCTCTCACAGACCTGTACCTTCTTCTTTAAGAGGCTCCTCTGTTCTGCACTCATTACCTGTATCAATGGCACCTGTTTGAACTTGTTATCAGTATAAAAGACACCTGTCCACAACCTCAAACAGTCACACTCCAAACTCCACTATGGTGAAGACCAAAGAGCTGTCGAAGGACACCAGAAACAAAATTGTAGACCTGCACCAGGCTGGGAAGACTGAATCTGCAATAGGCAAGTAGCTTGGTGTGAACAAATCAACTGTGGGAGCAATAATTAGAAAATGGAAGACATACAAGACCACTGATAATCTCCCTCGATCTGGGGCTCCACACAAGACCTCACCCCGTGGGGTCAAAATGATCACAAGGACGGTGAGCACAAATCCCAGGACCACCGGGGGACCTAGTGAATGAGCTGCAGAGAGCTGGGACCAACGTAACAAAGGCTACCATCAGTAACACACTACGCCGCCGGGGACTCAGATCCTGCAGTGCCAGACGTGTCCCCCTGCTTAAGCCAGTACATGTCCGGGCCCGTCTGAAGTTTGCTAGAGAGCATTTGGATGATCCAGAAGAGGATTGGGAGAATGTCATATGGTCAGATGAAACCAAAATAGAACTGTTTGGTAGAAACACAACTCGTCGTGTTTGGAGGAGAGAGAATGCTGAGTTGCATCCAAAGAACACCGTACCTACTGTGAAGCATGGGGGTGGCAACATCATGCTTTGGGGCTGTTTCTCTGCAAAGGGACCAGGACGACTGATCCATGTACAGGACAGAATGAATGGGGCCATGTATCGTGAGATTTTGAGTGCAAACCTCCTTCCATCAGCAAGGGCATTGAAGATGAAACGTGGCTGGGTCTTCCAACATGACAATGATCCCAAACATACCACCCGGACAACGAAGGAGTGGCTTCGTAAGAAGCATTTCAAGGTCCTGGAGTGGCCTAGCCAGTCTCCAGATCTCAACCCGATAGAAAACCTTTGGAGAGAGTTGAAAGTCCATGTTGCCCAGGGACAGCCCCAAAACATCACTGCTCTAGAGGAGATCTGTATGGAGGAATGGCCAACAACATACCAGCAACAGTGTGTGCCACCCTTGTGAAGACTTACAGGAAACGTTTGACTTCTGTCATTGCCAACAAAGGATATATTACAAAGTATTGAGATGAACTTTTGATATTGACCAAATACTTATTTTCCACCATAATTTGCAACCTACCTATGATCCCAATTATAGGCCTCTCTCATCTTTTTAAGTGGGAGAACTTGCACAATTGGTGGCTGACTAATACTTTTTTGCCCCACTGTATATTGTACATTCACATCTGTCCCTGACCCTCAAGGGGAGTACAATATAAGGTCCCTAACTCATATTTATATATACACATACACAATTTACCTTCCACCATGTTTTTGGAGTGTGGGAGGAAACCGGAGTACCCAGAGGAAACCCACACAGGCACAGAGAGAATAGGCAAACTCCAGGCAGGTGGTGCCATGGTTGGGATTTGAACCAAGGGCGCTAGTACTGCCAGGCAGAAGTGCTAAGCATTTAGCCACTGTGCTGCCCATAATTAGAAGCTGATTGACCACCATGCACAGCTGCACCAGATACTGCTCTCTCCAGTTTTAGTAAATCTACCCCATTATGTGTTATAATACCATCCAAATATAATAATAATTATGATTCATCAATGGACTACAGTGGCAAAATCCAAAAATGATTTGCCTACCCAACCATGAATATGCAAGATGTTGACCAGTTTTGTTTACTTGAAAGAACTAAGCGATTAGTTGCATACAGGTATCCAAGTTTGAAAAATGAAAAGCATATTTTGAAGATATATATCAGTAGTAGAGTACTGTAATCCGTCAGATAATGCAGAAGGTTTACCCTTTATTACCTAACTAAACCTATTAAAGGAGAAGTTAGAGGGAAGCTCTTTTGGTCCTACTTCTGTAGGTCACAGGAGCGCAGTTTGTTTTGCACTCCTGTGACCCGTATTCAGCTGACATTGGGCTAAAGTCCCCTGTTGGCTGACATCACTCAGCCGGTCCAGGCTTTTGAGACATCCCATGTCAGGAGCCATCCAGATGCCTGACTGGCAACTGGCTTAGCCTCCCTTGCCCTCTGCACAGCCTGGTGGTCCAGTGAGCGCTAGAGGGACAGAACAGAAAGCCAATGACTGACAGCAACCGGCTCTCTGCTCACTGAAGACAGAGAACTGAGCAATCAAAGACCGGTGATTCTCAGTCATAGAGGTGCAGAAACACAATGCAGCATCGGACCATCCACCTAGGTGAGTATGATTGTTTGTTTTGTTTAAATCCCATATTTCTCTTTTAAAGATGTAAGCTTTGGGGATACCCCAGATCCCTTATTTAGACATTATATATGAATCTAAGTTGTTCCAAAGGCATGCCTCTTTTAGATGCACTGTTTCCATTGATACCTTGAAGGAAGGAAATTAACTTAATTAATGAATTTACTAGGTTTTGCTGCTACTTGGGACTGTATTAGAGAGATATTGTCTTATTTCCTGTTCTAGTACTAGGACACAGACCACAAAAATTGCTGACAGGGTATCTAACCCTTCCTCAACTCTATTCAAAACAAAAAACCCACTTTAAACTATACTGCACTGTATGAGAATAACAATGGTGTAATTCTAGTGGTTTGTAAATTCAGCCTGAGCTATTGGGCTCTGTAAACAACAGGATTTGTTCAACTGAAGGTAAGGAAGACACTGGAAAATATGTTCTACCTGCTGAATGGATATTAATGTATGTCCAGCTAAATCAAAATCTGCATTTACAGATTTTGTTTTCTTTAGCAAAAATACAGTAGAAAACATTGGATGGCTTTCACCCTGATTCCCACCCTTTATTCCCCTGGTTTACAATTTACGTTCAGGGATGAGATCATCAGGCTGTTTGGTTTAAATATGAAGAAATAACAAACACTGATTAATTTTCTTTTATATTATACAGTATATCCTGAAGCAAACCATGAGAAAAAGTACACAACGGGGTTGATTTACTAAAACCGGAGAGTGCAAAATCTGGTGCACTTGTGCATGGTAGCCAATCAACTTCAGTTTGTTCAATTCCACTCTCCAGATTTAATAAATCAACCCCAAAGACTTTTAAATGTTTTTTTTAAATTAATGATAGAATTATAAAATAATGAAGGTTTTACCAAGTCAGCCAGTCGCAGAAGCATTAATTATATTGTTACTGTCGTAGGCATAATTTTCTGCTCAGGACAGCTGCAAGGGCAATTAAGGATACGTTTAAATTTGGAATGCACAAAGGGAATAGAGCGACAGAGACTGGACAGACTGAAAAGTGAATGCAAACGCTAAAGCTGATGTCAGCTTTTCAGTTACAGTGACAATAGATTTTTCCAATGAACAGCACATACCATTTCTTATAATAAATGCTATAACCAAAGTGTTTGCCTAGTTAAAAATAAATGTGTTGTTTTTGTTTATAATTTATTGTGCTCACAAATTTTGTTTATAAACTTTTTTATTTTTTTTCAACTTTTGTTCTTGTCAGGTAAATATGAAATATTGCAAATTGCAATCTCTTATTTACATAAACAGCCAAAAGCTGGAGCTCTGAACTCCTTTTCACATGTCTACCTGTATTTTCTGAGCTGCTATGTTAAAAAAAATTCCTTCCTGGAGAAAGAGAGCCTGAAAGTTAAAGCGGAGCTCCACCAAAAGGGGAAGTTTCGCTTTAAGGACTGCTCCCCATTAAGGATTGGCACCTTTGGGGGGCGGGGAGCGGGTACCCAAATTTGAAAAGTACCCGCTCCCACTTCCGGTCTGATCGCCTAGGCATCAGAAACGGAAGGTGTTCTCCCTCCCTCCCTGTAGTCTTTTGGGATACATGACAGGTCCCAGAAAACTTCAGGACCAGTCATGAAGTGCAGCGCTACTCCCGCATGCGCAGTGGCTACCCGGCTGTGAAGCCGCAAGCAGTCACAGCCAAGTGCCCACACTGAAGATGCCGGCCTCCAGGAATACTGGATGGCTGGTGAAACGGGTTGCAGGGGACACACAGTGGGACCGAGGGACAGGTAAGTGGCTGTTTTTTAAAAGTCAGCAGCTACAGTTTTTGTAGCTGCTGACTTTTATTTTTTGACAGGGTGAGTGGAACTCCGCTTTAACAGTTTCTGTGGTAGATCCAGAGATGAAGAGTGATAAGATGTTCAAGAGGCTACACAGTCTCAGCCTGCTTCATCCTTGTTCCTACTGATCAATGATGTTGTCCATCAGACTATAAGGGCCAATAGGTAGCCTTGGCAGACGGGATGTATGGATGTGTGTGGGCATCTTTTATCTTACAGGAAGAAGCAAGATTTGCACAACATTGCAGATACCTTTATCTCTTGATCATTTTGTTTTTGATCACCCTTGTTACAGTCAATCAGGAAACGAAGGGTAATCATTCCCAACCAGGAGTTCCAACCTCTCCCCCATCATAACATACAAAAAAATGAATTGGGCTTCCACTTTTCTAATCTTTTATCTGGTATAGCAAATGTTCAGCACATGGCTGTGATTAATCAATAACACAGGCCAGGCTATGTGTTTTTTGAGATTTATTCTCAGGTGTAACCATACATATCAGGAGATACTGTACAGCATTGTGCTTAAACCAGACAAATAGTGTAGTGAGTTGGGGTCCCTGGAGAATGTCTTCCTTCCTTTCTGTGTGCATCCATCATCTATCTTATGGGGTATACAATACATATTGTACCAGGTTTTCAGCTGCAACTTTATGCTGACTGTATCTATTAAGCACAATGGCTGATTGCAAAGGGATAAATGGAGTCAGATATGTATTTGCAGAGTTGATCAGTAGAACTGTGACTTAGATTGTGCCTTGTGTCAGAAATGATCAATCCCAGCATATACTCTACTCTACCTTCTGATAGACACATGTCCAAATCTGTCTTTTAAAGAGTATTAGTGTTCTAAAAGTCTGGTAAATATATAATCTGCTTGTAAATTATTGCCCTAACAACACAGCGCCATTCTTCGGGTTCCTCAGCTTTGCCAAAACTATAGCAGGAATGACCTATCAAGTAAGCTTCTTTCGTGCAAAATGCATTCAGGATCTAACTGTGATCTTGCTACTGTGTATGCCGTGAAACCTCAGATTCAGCAAGATATTCATGGAGCTATAACTTTTTTTCTAACTTGTTTTTGTGCTATAAAACAGAAGTTCTGGCTGTGATGCACAGCTGGAATTGTAGGGGTACTTTGGAGTGATATTTGGTTAAATGTGTGACATCTATATATCATCAGCTTGAAAAATGCAATGCTGTACTCCCCAGTATTTTGGCAGAACGATTTTACTTTTGTTCTTACACTGTAAAAAATGAAATATGAGCAACCAGCAGAAACAGCTATAAGCTATATTTCTTAGAAAGATTTAGCATTATAAAAATATATGAGGGTTGATATCAGGGGTGGACTGACAACTCATGGCGCCCCCGGGCAATAGGGGATCATGGGGCCCCTGTGTCCTTGCCAAACTCAAAAAAGCCTATGATAAAGGAACCAGGGGCATCTCATGGGGCCCCTACTGACCCCAGGCCCTCGGGCAGTGCCCGAGTTTCCACATGGTCAGTCTGCCCCTGGTTGATATACTAAAGGAAAATAAGCTATTCACTTTTCAAGGGATTTTTCCTTTAGCTTAATGATGGTGGAAAAAATTCACTTGCAAATGACACCCAATCATGTGCAATGGAGATAAAAAAACACAGTATTTTTTCTTGCACATGATTGGATGAAGGAAGTCAGCAATGCTTCACCGCATTCACTAAGCTAAGGGAAAAATTCACTTGCAAAGTGAATACCCTGTTTGCCTTTAGTAAGTAAACCCCATAGGGTTCAGGTTTCCTGGAATAGTTGCATTAGAAAAAAAAACACTAGAAGAACTAGTAAGCAGCAGGGGCGGACTGACCATTCGGGTACTTGGGCACTGCCCGAGGGCCCAGGGTCGGTAAGGGGCCCCATGAGATGCCCCTAGTACCTTTCATAGGCTTTTTTGGGTGTGGTTTTAAGTGTGGGTGAGGATTGATTTACTTTTGCCCAGTGGCCCCATGAGTTGTCAGTCCTCCCCTGGTAAGCAGGTAGATCTAAGAACATAAAATGTCACTCTCCCACTTTCCTTTCTGTAATAGAAAATGACATAAATAGTATGTACTGTACCGGAGAATAAGAACACAGGCTGCTACAAGAGAATAGGCCAGGAGTGTTCCGATGGACATCATGTCAACCAAAGCTTTTAGGTCAAACAGAAACGCCATTATGGCTAAAAAGACAGAAAGTGAAGCATGTTAGCATTTAGAATGTGAGTAGAATCATTTACAGTAGAATCTAGGACTGGAAATATATTGATATGATTAGCCTATTTACATTGATTTAGATCATATTTTTTCATGACCTTAAAAAACCCTAGAATCCACAGGAAACATCACATCAAGACATACTTGAATCAGTACAGGTGTTAGAGGTTCAGGGGAATGACTGTATTTATGCCCAAACTAAACTTAAGTTTGTTGCCTGAGCCAAAACTGGTAACTGTAGAATGAACTCTTAGTTTGAATTGCAAAAAGAACCTGTGGGCTTTACGTTTACAGTGTGAAAACAAATCACATTTAGAGCATGAAGTGACATCTACTGGCCCCTAAGGCTTTATTTCTAACTCCTGCCAAACACCCCTATAGCATTTGGCATGCGTTAGACAGGCATTTGGGAAGCATTTTTAACGCTCCCCGAATGCCCCATGCGTGTTTTTTGAGGTGTTTGATAGGCATTTGCAAAGCTTTAAAACCGCACCACAAATGCCTATAATGAAGTTTAATGGTATTAACGCCTCGTAAACGCTCCACAAATGCTCTGCAAACTCCTGCCAGGCATTTGAGAAGCGTCACCTTAGACTTGAATGGGAGGCTTCAACTCCTCCTGACTCAACATGAGGTGTCAGTTTTGCACTGTGTGCTGCCATGTGCAGAATTTTCATAGGCGTTTGAGAAGCGTTAAAAACGCTTCCCAAAGGCTTGTCTGACGCCAGCTGACAAAGCTAGTGTGAACGTAGCCTAATACATATTTCTACTAAAGTAATGATCTGGTAGAATATTTAACAGCTGGAGAGCCTTTTATGAGTTAATAAAAGTATCAGACTAAAGGATTAACTAAAAATACAGTGGAGCACATTGTGAGAACAAATCTTAAAAAAAACTACATTTAGTTCTTATGAGCCTAAAGTATTTTGCTTTCTTAAACGTATTGCTATTGACATCCTATAGTCTCCACTCTCCAGAGAACATACAAAAACATGGGATTCCACCAAAAAGTAGGCCAATTTGAATTTCAGATGTCGATCTTTAGTGCCTCAGTGGTTCCCATTCAGTCATAAATAGTAGAAATGATTTTCTTTGGAAACAGACTTCACTTACTGGTACTTCTTGTCATGTTTAGAATTAGCATCCACATTAACAGATTGTTTCATATTCTTTGTATAGAATACACTAACAATACACATGCAAAAATGTCTTGCCAATTCCAAAGCAAGCAACACCATATTGTGTACATGTATACACACAAATCTGCAAAATGGCCATCATGTTTTGTTTATTACTTTAGCAAGTAATGGTCATTTAAGCTTTTTTTTTTTTTTTTTTTTTTTACACATTTGGCATTCCTGATTACTTTAGATGCAGGATAGGCTTTAAGACTAATTCCACTGGGCTGATATGGGAGTGGTTCATTCAGTTGTATCTACAGTAAATCATGATGGACATTTTACATACACAAAATCACCAGCAAAGTACAAATCTGTAGCATGCAACACCATTTACTCTGTCCTCTTTCCACTCTAAACTGCAAACAATCTCCTGAATCTCCCACTGTTTTGCTAGCTATACAACATAGCCAAAGCTAGAAAAACACTCACTTCTTTGGCATAGATAGATATGACCAAAACATTATTCTTGATGGCCTGAGAGCAAGGGAGGACTGACAACTCATGGGGCCCCCGGGCAGTAAGAGATAATGGGGCCCCCTGTGCGCCCGCCTACACTCAAGCCACACCCACACAACACCCTACCTACATATTGCAGCTCAGCTGCATAGAAGGGGCATTTAAATATTTACTGCAGCAAAGACTGCATGAATGTTCCAGTCTTCTTTCGGTAAAAGCCACTGGGCACTTCCAGGTTTAAAGATGGCTACCACGTGGGGGAAGTGAAAGAGAAAGGGGAGTGAGAGAGTGAAAAAGAGGAGGGGTGTGAGAGAGAGAGAGGAGGAGGAGGAGTGAGAGAGAGAGAGAGGAAGGAATGAGAGAGGAGTGGTGTGCTTTAAATTGCGCTAAAAATTGGGCATGGCTTAAAAGGGGTGTGGTTAAACAGTGTCCGAGATTATTTATATAGTGCAGAATGAGGTAATGTTAAATAGGGAATGTACAGTGTGGAGTGTATGACAGTGGGTAGTATGTACAGGGAGAGGAGTGCAGAGTGTATGACAGTGGGTAGTATGTACAGGGAGAGGAGTGCGGCGTGTATGGCTGTGGGTAATACGTTTAGGATGGTGTCAGTAGGTGGTGTCAGTAGTTATTTACAATTTTATGATTTTTTTTTTTACAAATTGTTTTATTATTTTTATCATTTTTTTCAAAATGCTTTTGGGTGGCTAGTGGATGGTGCCAGTAGAGAAATGGCGTGGGTGTCAGAATGTTTTAATTTTTATTATCTAATTGTTTAATTATTTTTACAATTTATTTCTGTAATATTTTTTTCACAATGATTTTGTGGTGGCAGTGGACAGTTAAGGAAGGGAGTGAACAGGGAGCACTAGTATATGTTGGGCTGTCACTAGATTGGGATGAATAAACAGAACCTGTACCCCCTTATATCGGAAAGAAGGGAATGGATAGAGGGAAGGAAGGAAGAAAAAAGGGAGGGAGGGAATGGATAGAGTGAAGGAGGGAATGGATGGAGGTAGGAAGGGGAGGGAAGGAAGAAGGGGTGGGAGGAAAGAATGAAGGGAAGGGAGGGGATGGAGGAAGGAAGGGAAGAAAGAATAGGGAGGGAGGGAGGGAATGGATGGAGGAAAGAAGGAATGAAGGAAAGAAAGAAAATGGATGAAGGAAGGAATGAAAGAAGGAAGGAAGGAAGGAAGGAAGGAAGGAAGGAAGGAAGGAAGGAAGGAAAAGGGAGAGAGGGAATGGATGAAGAAAAGAGGAGGGAAGAAAGGAGGGATGGGAGGAAATAATGAAGGGAGGGATGGAGGAAGGAAGGGAAAGAAGAAAAGGGAGGGAGGGAATGATGGAAGAAGGAAGGAAAGAAAATGGATGGAGGAAGGAATGAAGGAAAAGGAAGGGAGGAAGTTAGGAAGGGAGGGAAGGAGGGAATGGATGGAGGAATAAAGGGGGGGGAGGAAGGAAGGGGAGGGAAGGAAGGGAAGGGAGGGAAGGAAGGAAAGAATGAAGGGAGGGGGTGGAGGAAGGAAGAAAAGGGAGGGAGGGGATGGATGGAGGAAGGAAGGAAATGGATGGAGGAAGGAATGAAGGAAAGGGAGGGAAGGAAGGAAGGGAGGAAAAAAGGAAGGAAGGAAGGAAGAAAAGGGAGGGAAGGAATGAAGGAGGGGGCGGGGGGGGATGGTGGGCGGGAAGGAGGAATGAAGGAAGGAAATGAAAGGAGGGGAGGGAGGAAAGAATGAAGGGAGGTGATGGAGGAAAGAAAGAAGGGAGGGCGAGGGGGGAGGGAGAAGGAGAGGGCGAGAGAGAGAGAGAAGAGAGAGAGAGAGAGGGGGAGGGAGAGGAGAGAGAGAGAGAGAGATGTGGATGACCTGGTACATTCAGAAGCATCACAGAGCTGCCCATCTGGACAGGGGAGGCAGAGCAGATCCTCTCTCCTCTGCCATGGAGGATGGGGGAGGGGCTGGACACTGTCAGAATCAGAGACCTGCGAGGGGGGGGGGGGGGTGCTGAAGAGCACGGGGGGGGGTCAGGAGGGAATTCCAATGCACAGTCAGGGATGATCGGTGCAGGGAAGGGACAGTGACAGTTCCGATCTCCCTGCATGGATTTCAACGAGGCAGCTGGAAGCCTCTCCCTCCTGCTGCTTTCAGCTGCTTCATTGAAATCCATACAGGGAGATCGGTGCTGTCACTGGCCCTCCACTGCATCAATCACCTCCGACTTTGCTCCTGATACATATCATCCATGGGGGGGGGGTGCGGGGTGTGTGCGGTGAAAACCCCACACCCATGAATGATATGCCTCTCACCTTCCCACTGCCCACCAGCTCCATCACCAGCACAGTGTCCGGACCCATCACTCGACTCACTCTGCCCCCATGTGAAGTGACAGGTGAGCTACTTCTGGGTCGGGGATCTGAGCCTGCCTCCTCCTCCGCTCCCCACACTTTCACTGGACAGTGATCCTCTCACGGGCCCCCTACTGACCCCAGGCCCTCGGGCAATGTCCGAATGCTCAGTCCGCCCCCTGTCTGAGAGTAATTTGTAAAATAAAATTCTTTGAGTAAGCTCAGAAACAGATGGTAGAAATGTGACATTCTATAGAAAATAGATGGGTTTGCTGACTTTTTCTTGTAGAATATCTTGTTATTTATATATTTTAATTATTCATAAAGAATATTAAATGGTAACATAATACTAAAGTAGAGTTCTCTTTACAAGTTTTCATAGATGAGCAGACACTGCTAATACTTTTTTTTTAGAGATGCAGAAATGGTGAAAACTGGGAAATGGCTAATTCCAGAAAGGTGCATTAGCGTGATTTGCAAACATTTGACTTAAGATGGACATACATAGATCAAAATTTGGCTGGTTCAGTGGGGAACAGCTGAATTCCGATCCAAGTCCTGATTATTTGGGTTGTGGTACTTCTATGGGGACATTATGAGTACATAAAGTACATAACACAATCCCTGATTTCTAAACACATGGTAAATGTTATTGCTGACAATTAACCACTTGCCCTCCAGAGGATTTACCCCCCTTCCTGACCAGGCCATTTTTTTGCAATACGGTGCTGCGTTATTTTAACTGAAAATTGCACAGTCATGCAATGCTGCACCCAAATGAAATTTGCGTCCTTTTTCCCCCACAAATAGAGCTTTCTTTTGGTGGTACTTGATCACCTGTGCGGTTTTTATTTTTTGCAATATAGAGAGAAAAAACGAACAACAATTTTTAAAAAAAATATAAACTATATTTCTGCCTTTTTGCTATTAAACATGTCCAGTAAAAAAAAAATTTAAAAATCAAATTTCATCATAAATTT